AGTTAATTATATTATAATTAACTAGTACCCTGAATGTTTTGTGGTGGCAAGGACTTAATAAGTCTGCTTATTAATCAGAAGTTTAACAAATAACATTTAAAGATTTTTATCCCCAGGAAAAAAAATGTGTTTCTGGACCCCAATTTATTAAATTAAGGTAATGCATTTGTGACTGGGTTTTTAGTATCTATATCTATCTGTTCATCTCATCTGGCTTCAATATCACTGAACTGTAGAGATGATCAAAAGCAAAATGAGAATGGTAAAGCTAGGTTCTCATTTGAAATATTGTCTTTCCAGGCTGATATTTTTCCAGTTATTCTGCCAGCAGTCTCAGGTCTGCATCGTCTATTTAAAGTGTCATCTCATCTAAGTGCAAATCTTGGCCCAAGCCAAGGCCATCTGTTGTTGGGTAATAGTTGTGATTTATTCTGCCTCTGGATGACATTCATGGGCCAGATGCTGACTTGTAAGATTTGCTTTTATTCATTTTCAGTTTTATACCATGTGTGAATATCACAAACAGCATTTAAATTTTAGATATTTTTGTCTGATGTTTAAAATTAGGGATGAGTAATAGCATCACACACTCCTGGGATGGAATTCAGCATACATCAGAACAGGGTAGGACAGAAGAAAATATCTTACGTGTTAGAAATACATTCAAACAATGTTTCTTAATGTCTAATTTCTTCCTAATCACTAATCCATACACTCATTGATGTTGCATATAAAAAATTAAGTATTGCTTTCAGATAAAAGTTGTGGACTATTTGAAGACTTTTTTGACTTGAGAATGTTGTAGGTAGCTAAACTGTAAGCAAAATATTTATAATACTCTGCAGCATACCTTTGCCTTCATGTACAATGAGGGTAGTTATGAAACTTTTCAAGTTGCAACTGACTGTCATAGGGACACTCCTGCATATAAAAGATGAATATTATTAGGGAGATGGGTAAACTTCCCTAATTCCAGATATTTTAAAAATGACTTTTCATAGTAGAGATGGGCAGTATCTAAGATCCAGACAATCTGTACATCTTGCACATTAGCTCCTGGTAGCAGTTTGGACTTAGAGCTTTTTATGTGTCTGTCTTCTCCAGAGTTGGTGTTGAAACACTGAGGAGTTGTGCTGCAGCTCCAAAGCACGTTTGGATACACAAACGTGAGTGGAAATGACTTCATTGTCTCTCTATCTGCTGTGGGAGCAGAAAGCTCTGGGTCTTCCTTCCCACACTGTTCAAACTGCTCTAGTAAAACAGAGGAGTAACAGGTGAATTGATACATGAACATACCACTTTGCTGTGTAGTTTTAGGAAACATTTCAGAGTCTGGAGACTAATGGAAAGTCAATTTTAATGTCTTAGATAGCAGAGCAGCTTCATCAAAAATGGTTCCCATGCACTTTGTTTCAGATCCAGTGAGTTGATCTTGTCAGGTTGTATGTGGAGGGATTGCTAGTAACAGTGCTCAGATAAGAGTTATCAAAGTTTTTATCTTATCAGTTTCTGTCTGTAACAGGATTTTGTGTGGCTAAGTAGGATGGGTTGGGCCTGCCATGATTTGTGTAAAATAAGTTTACTAGTTTAGACTGAATTATAATACTGGCATTTTATGTATCTGTCCTCCTTCTTACATTCCTTTGGTTTTGATTGTTGGTTATTGTGGTCTAGAAGACAATGCTCCTTTTGTTTCTCTGAGGAGGGAAAGAAGTCTGTCTGGGTAGGATTCATTTAATACACCTTCAGGTGCTTGGACGTTGGTTGACCAGTCTGAACTAGACCTCATTCTCATGAGAGTCACTGGATAGAAGCAGACTTCTCTGGAGCTCCTGCCATCTCCAGTGCTATTTTAGTGTACAGTGAAATACCTGCTGGGTTGCCCACTTCAGTTGAGTGATCTAGCAGAAAATTACTTGGTGTATTTGTTTTAAGCCAGAATTATGAGGAAGGAGAGCAGAGAGTAGTGAACTGCTTGTTTCTTCTTTGCAACTCTTGAAACATCATTTACAGAAGTCTAAAATTAGCTGAGATTAACTCTTTAACTCCTGGTATTTAAAAACTTTTTAAAAAAAAAAAAGGTTTCTAGATGAGGTGGAACTAGGAAAGGTGTATTTTACATCTCATTTTCAATGCAAGGTTTAAAATAAAGTATTGTTTTTCAGCAAATCAGTTTGGTGGAATCAAAACCTGCCCAGCAATATTAGTGCATAGTTTGGCCATGTTGTAGTCATGGAAATAAAATTTGTTAACTGCAGTGTCAAGTCTGAGCCAATTCTTTGAAATGAACCATGATGGAGGAGAGGTAGAGCTTGCAAAAGCCAAGTGTGAAGCGTTTGCACTGCCTCTGTAGTTACCATAGGACTGTTGAGAAGTTGGTACTGCCAGTGTCTGTCCTGTGGGCTGCAAAAAGAGAATCATAGGATTATTAGTATGGGTAGAGAAAGCATCTGGTGGTGCCTAGTCCAACTTTCTCCTTGAAGTGGAACTGTTGCTGACAGTAGATAAGGGCAACCATGACTTTGTATAGCTGGGTCTTGGAAACCTCCAAGATTTCCTAGCCTCTCTGCTGACCTGTTACAGGATTGCACCACACTCTAGATAAAAAAAACTGTTTCTGAATGTCTAACCTGAACCTCCAGGAAAGGTAAGGGTACAGGAAGTACCCGAGGAATTTTCCTTAATTTGTTGCTATCCAGAAATTTGGCATTTCAGTCATGACACTGCTGTTTATTTCTGTAGATGTACTCCAATTGTAACGTCTTTGTGATTGGGATACTTCTTAATAATTTTATACATACAGTAAATAAAGGTGCCATTATAAACAAAACTAAACCAGCATCGTTTAATGTACCGATCTTCAGATATGTTAGCAAAAAAATAGTAGTTACTTGTAATGATTCACAGGTGATCGTCTATGCAGTACTTGGTTTTGCTAGGTAATGATGTTGTGGACTCTCAGAAGCACTGAAAAAAACCCAGCAGGATAAGCATTTTTTAAGTGATGTTAAAAATAGTCATCAAATCATGACAAGGACGTTGCTACAAAATGTTGTTTTAATGGCCATCTTATCTTTGGTCTGTTCCCTTGAGAACATTGAATTTCAAGAACAGTTTTTCTGTAAAGTTCATTGTCTGACTGAATGTTGTCTTAATCTCAGCAGTTAAAAAATGCAATGGGAATTACATATGTAGTCTGAGAATTATACCAGAGTGGTTTTATAATTTCGGTACCAAGATGTTTTTAATTACGGTCATTTATTGAAGTAATGTTTTCTTCTTGTGGTCAGTCATTTTGGGGTTTTTTTTGGGGGGGGAGGGGGGTGGTGGTGTTGGTGGGAAAAAAAGAAAATTGTATTTCTGCAGTGTATCTACAGAATATCTTGATCTATTTAACACCTAACTTTGCATGTAAGTCACTTCCCTGACTCTTAGACATAACAATGTAATGTTTAGATATTAAAATGGGGAAAATAGTTACCTTGACATTAGGAAGTTAACAACTGTGTCCTGAAAGAAGTCTAATTTAGTCTGCTAAAAAGATAACCTTGGCCAAAAGCATGAGACATTTGTGTGCCTGTTCTTAACCTTCAGCAGGGAGCCAGAAAGCTGCATGTAAAATTTCTGAGTGCTGGGTTTGTAAAATATCATGGGAGTTTTACAAATGGAAAAGCATGAAATAAAATGAGAGCATCAAACTCGCTTCTGCTTTTTAAACGTGTGAGATAGATGGTGGCTCTTGAAAAGTGAAGGGCAGGTGTTCTGATCTGGTTTTAGGACAGTTGCAAAAACTTAATGAGTTGACCTCCATGTTTGACACGGTGGCATCTGCCAGCTTTCATTATTCATTTCACACTGGGAGTGAATTTGACATTGCTGGCACTGGGAGAGGGACAAACACAGGGGTTGTAAAAATAAACCCTTTCCATTAATTCTTTGGGACCTGGAAAAGATACTTAGTGATTGGCAGGTATTTGTTTTGCTTAGAGCCTGAGTTAGAAATTTAGACTCAATCTGCCAATTATATAAATGCAGTCTTTTGTTCCTAATTACTAAGAGAGAACAAATATACTTCCCTCACAATGTCCACTGCGTACTGAGATGGTGCAGTGATGCAACGTTTTGTCAGGGAAGCTAAGCTTTGAAAGGCACGGGAAGCTTCCCTTGGCCTTAGTAGTCTTCCTTGGGTCTGTCTAGATTGGCATAGCATAATGATATGGGAGATGCCTGGACTGGCACTTTAATGTTATGTTATTTCTGTTGATAAGGGAAGAACCATGTTTTCCTAGAAAAAAAAAAAAAAAAAAAAAAAAAAAAGAAAAGCTGCATTTTTCCTTGCAGGCCAGGTTCATATCTAGATCATCTCCTATGGATGTAGCTTCCACTGCTAAAACCCAGGGTAGTTAGTTTGAATACCGCTGTCTTACAGCAGCACCCAGCCACCTCACAGTTCAGATAAGCTACTAAAGCACAGCTTTGCCATCAAACTGCCCTGGTAGTTTTTTGTGAGCAGAGCTCATATTTCACACGCTGTCACAACCCTGACTGATACAGTCCTACTGCACCAGGCGCAGGCATGTGGTGTGGAGCTTGACATAGATATAGCAAGATGACATTTATATATAAAGCAGACAACACTGCAAGTAAAGTCTTCAGTTCAGCAAAGCCCTTAACCACATGTTTAAATATCACTGAAGTCAAGTTAAATTACTTTAATCATACACATAAGTACTCTGTTGAATGAGGGCCTAATAGTAGTTTCCATCTCTTTCCACATGATCAAGGTTTTTTCATATTCTGCCTCATGCGATAGGGGTTTCTTCTCAGTTACACAGCATGAGCAATTGCTGTTACTTTTGGAAGACTCCCTCAACAATCTGAATTTGCTAAGCTGCTGTAAACAGTTTTATGTGGAATGCCTGTAAGACAGAATGGAAGGGAATTTTCCCAGCTTTGTACTTCCAGGGTAAATTTAACACATCTTTTCCCTTATTTTCCAGGACCACCTGTTATTGCCAGCCACCACGCATAACAAGACCAGAAGACCAAAGATGTCTATAGTGTTGCCAGCTGTAAACATCAATGGTAAGTCCAAAACACGAAACAGAGCAATAGGAGAATAATTTCAAAGAGATGTGCCTGACTTGCATGTGGAAACAAAACTTAGTCTGTTGTTACAGCTTTGAAAAAGAAGTCAGACTGGTCATTACTGGGCCTTAGTTGCCAGGGTCTCTGCTACAGCTGGGATGCTGGCAAACCACCGGTGCCTGGTGACAGAGATGGTAACAAGAGGCTGTGTGACTTGGCCAGAAGTTTTGCAGTATCTCCTTCAAGGACAGGGGTGGTGTCACCCATTCCTGGTGATTTATACAGAGCTGATTAAGGGTTACTTGAATGTGATCTAGCTTCTCTAACTTGGTGGCTACAAAGATCCCACTGAGCATGGAGACTGTCCTCATCCTCTTGTTTGGCTTCCTCCTACGCCTGCTTAGCAGGGCAAATTCCTTGGCCTTTCTGGTTTGTTAGGATGCTGACTGCCTTCCATTGGTTTCCTCAGCTGTTTACCACTCTGTTATACAACACACAGTGTGAGCAGGACCTCTCAGCACTGCATGGTCAGGATTAATAATAATCATGTTACAGTGCTGCAGGACAGCAGAGGAAACAGCTTTGCACTAGGGACATGGGCTTATTGGTGAACAGAAATGTTCTTGATCTGCGTTTTAGTCCCATATGAGAAACAGGACGTAAACTGTGTGTGTATATATATGTCTCTCTCTCTATATATATAATTAATTCATGTGGTGAGGAACTGCCAAGTTAGGACGTGTTTGGGACACAGGGTCACTGTCACAGTCATCAAACACATCATGAGCCCTGTAACAGTATAAACTTTCTGAATCTGTGCACATAATGCTTTTTTAAAACTTATGTATTTTACACTACAAGTGAATCATCAACCCAAATATTTTTGTTAAATTCAAGCATGCCAAAAACATTATCTGATGGTTCAAATTTCCATAAACTAAGAAAAAAAATTTAGTTTAGGCTTTTGACATTTTGATAATTATATTTTCCCATGAAGTACAGTAAATTGAATGTGATAATATATAACCAGCTGTATTAGGGGAATTTTTATTAGATGTATCAGAACTATTTTTAGTGTTTATCTGCCTGAAATTCCCTTTTCAAGTTCATTACAGAAATCCTTTTCTGGCTGAGCTGAATTATCATGTGCAAATGGGCACTTTATCATTTGAAGAACAAACACTATTTCTAAATTACAAAATATTTCTTCTTAACATATTACTGAATCTTGTTTTACTTGAAATAACTTTTCAGTTGTTGGAGTAAATATGATTTGGAAAATAAACATCAGAATCCAATGATAAACCTTATCCTTCATTAATAATGAAACATCGTGAAATGATAGTTACTTGAGTTCTTTGGGATTTTTCTTCAGAACATCAGTATAATCCAGGAAATAAAAAAATGTCTAGGGATTTGATCAGTGATGTTGAAACAGATGAGACACAAGGATAGCATTAAGTAAACAGTGGCATCAAACACTGCTTCCTCTGTGACACTCAGCCAGGTATTAGGAAAAAAAACAACAAACAACAAAGATACACTAGAGCCAATAGGTAACTTGGCTTGATTTTTACTTTGATTATTAGTAGATTACCTGGAGTATATGATTCTCTAAAAAGTTCTACCTGGAGAAATACCCATTTCTCTCCTTTGAGAACATTGCTCCTCCACACTATTCTGCCTCCATGGGAACTGAGCATGTCCTGAACAAGCATCTGGAAGTTAGCTAACAACAAAGCTTTCCTCCCAGATGTCTGCTGTTCTTTTAACCCCACCTTAATTCTTTGTCCACCTGCAGAGAGTCGGCTGCTAGAAGAGGATAGGTCTCCCTGGGAGGAATTGGCAAAACTTTCAGTGAAAGAACTTGTCCCCTCATGCCTTTTCTTGTGCCTCAGCAAGATCTCTGTGGAAGAAAGGAAACCTTTTCCACTGCCACTTGTTTGCCCTTCCTCTTTGCTGCCACAACCCTGGCAGAGGAGGTGAAGGGAATGCAAGCGAAGTGGCCTTTGAAATTTTTTTGGAACCTCATCACTTGCTTTCTTCTGCAGGATCTTTATTTGTCTGTGTACTAAAGTTTACCCATGACACTGTTTCCAAACATGAAACAGCTAACAGTTCAGTTGAGAACTCTTTGAACTGCTTGGACAGTTCTTTTTCCAGCAGGACCATCATCCTTTTCTGATTGCACTTTGATTGCTTGAGTGCCTTCTGAGCTCTGCTAGAGACTCTGCCTTTAGCCGGCATGAGCCATTCCCACCACCAGCTGCAGGGACAGAGAACAGGTACTGGCAAAGATTAGGAAGTAAAATGAGTGGTCAGTTGCTGTCCTCCGTGACTGCATGGAGGTTAATGACATGGCTCTGCAAGACTGATCTAGCAGTTTTCACCAGTGTACAAAGTAGAATCAAGTTTATAGTCTGAAGAGCTTTTCTTGGAGGGAAGAGTTGGGATAAGTCTGGCCAGTGGCAGTGCTTTGCAGCTAATGGCAAATCTCAGTAGAAAAATTTATAGTAGACAGATGCATGTATGTGCGTATGTGTGCATTCAATAAGGTGGAAGTTTAAGAGAACAATATTGTACAAAGCAATAACAGTACATTATTATTTTTCTTGATAAAAACTATTCAACTGTTGTATGTTGGAAAAGAGTAAAAATGGCCATTACTTTGTAACTTTCTCCTGTGTGCTCTGTCTCCTGGTTAGCCTGAACCACCTATGCCCCTCTGTGAGCATGAGGATAGGCCAGCAATGTGCTCACTGAGGGCTTCAGTGCAGATGCACAGAAATATGTTTAAATATTTAAATATGTTAAATATGTTAACATATTACAGTAAATATAAACATGTTAACATATGTTTAACATGTTTAAGTATTAATTAAAAAAAAAAGTACCTTTTTGCACATTGGTACATGTTAATTGTCCTCCTCTTACCCTCTTTCCCTTCTTCCCCACCTTGTTCCAAGCCTCCTTCCAAGCTTGCTGGGCCACCCCCCCAAGTTCACAGCCAGTAGTTACTGTCAGCTCCTCCATTTCTGCTTCCCCAGATGCTCTCACAGCCCTTTACCCTTCTCCCACTACCCTGCTGGCTGTCCCTCACTACATCTCTACCCTTGGCCCCTGCAGCCAGCCCATGCCCATGGTTTGTCCTGCCTCTGCCCAACAGCAAAGCCCCATCATTTGTGGACGGAAGTATTACAACTCTAAAGAAAATCTGCCTGATGGTACCTAAAGACCTTAGGGTTGGCAAGCCTGGAGGGGAAAAAAAGCAGAACTGAGTAGTCCTAGTCCCACTGTACATGGTTTTGGGGGCACCACTGGTGTGCCTTTACTGAGAAGTTATTCCAAGAAGAAATATCTTGCAGTTTCTCATGGGAATGAAAGCCAACTGCAATTTACGGTTAAACTCCAGCTTTTGTTTTTAAGCAAGTCATGTTTGTTATGCTGGATTGCAGCTATTATTTTAGAAATCTAACTATGCACTTGAGGCCAGTTAAGTCTCCAGTAGATTTCATTCCTAAATTTGCTTTTATTGTAATTCAGAGTCTTGTTGGCTCATTACACCAATTCCAAATTGACATATAGGCGGTGCCTTTCTTGAAGCTTAAATGAAAACATCTGCCATTAGCCTTCTATTTACTTAACTGCTGTAAAAAATGCAGTGGGTTATAACGTCAATCTTTGGATCAAAATAATCTATAGAATACAGCATAGCTAAGCCACTCTTCCTACCCCAAGCACAAGCCTTTTGTCTCTGCAGGATGCTGCAGCTTTGCAGCGCAGCACACACCACCAGTAGTCAGGTCCTTACAGCACACAAAAGTGAGAACATATGTACAGTCATTCACTGTAGGAGATAGCATTCAGCGTTTAGCCCGAGAAGCCGTTTTAATGCATTTTGCCCTAGGATTAGGTTAGGTACTTTCACAGCTTGCACTTCCTCTTGGTAGGAGCAGCTGCAAACGTCTATGCAGGTGTGTATTCACCGTGAATACTGGTGGCTGTAGCAGCAGCGCAAAGACAAAAAAGGTCTTTTTTATTCTTACTTACTGCAAAACAGTTCCCCATACATAAAAGTCCTTCCGTCGTTTGTTCTCTTTAAATTGAGGGTTGGTGTCTGCACTATCAGCCAAACAAAAGAGAGAAACCTAATGAGAAAGCCCTTGGTGAGATCCAGGGCTCATTTTCTGGGAATTGGCAGCCATGACAGAGAGTGTCTTGAATTTTTTGCAAATATTCTGGATGGGTCCTTAGTCTAATGTCACACAATGGGACTTGTCTTCAGTCTGCCTTTGAGATAGCTGTTTGTGTGCCTCACCTTCTATAACTTGTATGTTCCTAGGTTCTTAATGAGCCTTGTTCTCTTAAGGATTGTTTTTTGTCACGAAGCACAACAACAAAATAGTCTCCTAAAGTCAGAAATTTACTGTGCATGGGATGGTCAGTCTTGCAAAGTCCATGTGCTCCATTGTGTTGGCCAGCTTCTGATCGCGACCATTTCCCTCGGCCTTTCTTCTGAGCATCCATCACCGTACTGATGTAACAGACTTCAAAAGTGCTCTGAAATAATACACATTGTAATTAACAAGGTCAATAACAAATCTAGAGGTAAGGCTTTTTGAATAAAAATTGAATGATTTCTGCCATCAAGCAGCATGATCATTTGTGTGCAGCTACAAAGAACCTTCCTTCAACTGACAGCCGTATGCAAGCCACTCACAGATGTCCAAGGCTGGTAGCAAACTATCTGTGAAAAATCCATAAGGCAAACAGAACTCACACAGGCTGAGAAGGAAAATAAAAACAAAAGCTGTTTGGGAAGTGACAGCGTTCTGTAAGTTCCCATGTCTTGGGGTTGAATAAATAAAGTCTCCAACTTCCTTTGCCTTTCAGGGTCAAGCAAACAAAAGATGCCATTTCCGTCTTTTGGAGCAAGAAGAATTCCCAATCAGTCATTGAATGAGGAAGGTCTAAAACAATACATACCACTTAACGGC